ATTAGTATTCTCAATACAATATTGAGTCTTCCAGTCCACGAATGTGGTAAATACTTCCATTATTTAGTCTTTCTTTAATTTCTCTCAATAATATACAGTTATTAGCATAGAGGTCTTATATATCTTTTATTATATTTATTCCTAGGTGTTTGATTTTTTCATGCTATCATAAGTTGGTCTTTTAAATTTTGTCTTTTAATTCTTTGTTGCCAGTACATAAACTATATTTGATGCTTGTATATGACCTGGTATCTTAATTATTTTGCTAAATTCACTTACCTCCAGTAAAATGCTGAATGGAGAAGTTAGACATGCTTATGTCATTCTCAATATTTCTTTAATAAATATAATTTTGCTCTAGGTTTTTAATAGAATTGCTTATCAAAACAAAAAAATTCCCTCTTGTTTCTAGTTTGCCAGGAATTTTGAGCCATGAATGAATGTTGAATCTTATCAAATGCGTCTTCTGCCTCTACTGAGATAATATGGTTTTTCTCCTTTATTTTGTTGATGTGGTAAATTACATTGATTGATGTTCAAATATAAACCCAAACTTGCTTTCCTGGGATAAACCTAATTTGGTCTTGATACTTATCCTTTTTTAAATCATTATCAATTTGCTAATATTTTCTTTAGGATATTGTGTCTGTGTTCATGAAAGAGATTGACCTGATGTTTTCCTTTTTTGTAATGTCCTTATAAGTCTTAGGTATCAAAATAATACAGGCCTTATGAAAATTTGAACAGGTTCCATCTTTTTCTATCTATGTTTTTTTAAGATTGATTTCATTTAGTTGTTAAGAAATGTTTGAAAGAACTCACTGGTAAAGCTTTCTGGGCTTAGAGGGGTTTTTTTGTGCATAGGTTTTAAATTACAGATTCAGTTTCTTTAATAGTAAATAATAGAACTATCCTGGGTTTTTTTTTTCTTGTGCCAGTGTTGTTGAGATTTTCCATGAATTTATCACTTTCATCTAAATTTTTACAGGTGTTGGCTAGAAGTTGTTCATAATATTCTCTCATTTTAATGCCTGTAGTATCTACAGTAATATCTATTTTTGTTACTAAATCTGATTGTTTCTTTTTTCTCAGTCAATCTTGCTGAGGCTATCAATCATGTTAATCTTTTCAAAGAACAAAATTTTGATTTGTTGCTTTTAAAAGTTGTACTTTTGCTTTCTATTTCATTGATTTCTGGTATTTACTATTCTTTTTTCTGTATTTGTTAGTCTTTGAGCTTAATTTTCTGTTCTTTTTCTAACTTCTAAATTTGCTTAGATCTCTAGTTTTCATCCTTACACCCTCCTCATTTAGGCTATAAATTTCATCCAAGCACAATTTACCTGCATCTCACAAGTTTTCACAAATTACATTTTCATCTTTGTCAGTTAAAAATACTTTCTATTTTCAATTGTGATCTCTCTCTCTCTCTCTCTCTCTCTCTCTCTCTCTCTCTCTCTCTCTCTCTCTGTCTTGAAGTCAGGGTCTCACTGTATTGCCCAGGCTAGAATACAGTGGCAGTCATGGCTCACTGCAGCCTTGATCTCCTAGGTTCAAGCAATCCTTCTGTCTCAGCCTCCAAATAGCTACAGGCACGTGCCACCATGCCTGGATAATTACAAAAATTTTTTGTATAGTCAAGGTCTCACTATGTTACCCAGGCTGGTCTTGAACTCCTGGGCTCAAGCAATTCTCTCACCTCGACCTCCCAAAGGGCTGGGATTACAGGTGTGAGCCACTGCCAGATTCCATTATTTCTCTTTAAAAGTTGATTAAAAATCTTATGTTTGTTGCTTTGAAAGTGACTCTCTTTTTTCCCTCTGGCCGTTTTAAAATTTCCTTTTTGGTTTCCAGCAGTGTTTTAAATCAATGTGCCTAGATGTGGGTTTCTTTACGTTTATACTATGTGAGGTCCTTGCATTTATGACTTGATGTCTTTCAACAGTTTTGGACAGTTTTCAGTAGGTGTTTCTTCAAATATTCCTGTGTTCCTGTTTCTTCTTTTTTTCTGAGTCTCCATTTATGTGAATTTTAGAACTTTGTACTGTCTCATATTTCTTACACTCTTTTTTTGTGTTTCTTATCTTTTTCCTTTGCTTGCTTCAGAATAGATACTTTTCTAGTGACCCATCTTTCATTTTACGAATCCTCTCTTCTGTTATGTGTAATAGGTTGTTATCCCTTCTAATGAATTCTTAATTTCACAAATTGTATTATTTAATTATAGTATTTTCATTGGATTTTTCTTCAATATAGGGTCAAATTCCTCATTTTGTCATGTCTTAGACATATTAACCATAGTTATCTTAAAGTCTATGGTCATTATTAGCAAGAGGCTTGATCTGATACAAACTACTCAATTGCAGCCGTGAGCAGAATTCTCATCCTGTTTAAATAATAACAGATCATCTGGATTCTTCTATAAAATCCAAGAGATTTTATATGTTGGTCACTGATTTAAATATTCTAAAGTACTTTTCTAGGGCAGCCAATCCGACCATTTCTTCAGGCTGGATGCAGCCAGTTTGTGACGTCTCACTCAATAAAATGAAAGTTGGAAGTGAGTTTACTCAGTTTCCCCACATCCCTTCTTCTTACCTGTGTAGAAAAGATTCTCTAGGCTTGGGAGAGAGAGAGGCAGTGGCAGAAAAAAGGAGGGAGATGGAGGGGAAGCAATAGGGGTATGAATGTTAGTGTATTCTTCATCAAGGGACTTCCTATGGTCCTGGGAAGCAGACAAAACTCTAGAAGGTTTTGCTGGAGCGGGGCAGTAGGAAGGCATCACAGAAGTTCTAAAGAGAGTCTAAGCATACATCTTATGCGAGATACTGCCTGTGGGGTCTTCACATGAGGTCAGGTAGATATGTTAGCAAAGATCTAGATGAACTCTGAACTCATCACTCTGTCCCTTGTTCACTCCTCTTCAGTCACTCTGGTCCTCATACCCTTCGAATACACCAACCAGGCATCCGGGTCACAGTTTTGTCCTCTCCTGGGAATATTCTTCCTTCAAATATCTACATGGCACCTTATCTCACTCCCCTCAGGTGTTTGTGAAACCTCACCTCCTCAGCGAGGACCTAGGCCTGTTTATCCTCCTTAAAGCTGCTCACCCACACACCATCCTTTCGCTTTCTGTCTTCGTTTCCCTGCTCTATTTTTCTCTTGAGCAACTATTATTACAGATGATCCTCATTACTTGTGGATTCTATATTTGTGAATTTGCCTACACTAACATTTATTTATCCACGGTGCTTTGACCCGCATTTGCAGACATGCACAGAATGGGGAGAAATCTGAGTAACCCAAGACTGAGCACATTCCCCGCTGAAGTAGAACAAGGTGACAGTCTGCCTTTCAGTGATCCTAAATGCAAGAAGGCTGTGATGTGCCTTACAGGGAAAATGTGTGTTAGATAAGGGTTGTTTAGGCATGAATGAATTACAGGGCTGTGGTTGTGAGCTCAGTGTTAATGAACACAACAATGGGTACTAAATAAGGTGTCTTTAAAAGTACACATCAAACAAGAGTGTATATTGATCAGTTGACAAAAATGTTATGAACAGAAGGTAGCAAGAACATAATCCCATGTTTTCCCCTAGGAGCAATTCCACAGTATTTGCTAATTCGATGTTCATAGCCACTTTATAGAACATAACTGCCATGTGTGACAAGAATCAATTGTTTCTGATGTTATGTATTACATATTTGTTTGTTATCTGCCTCTTCCACTAGAAGGTAAGCTCAAGGAAGGCAGACTTTCTGTCCACTGCTATGATTAGAGTAACAGCTGGCATATAGTAGGTATTCAGTGAACATCTGCGAACTGAGTGGGTGACGGCAGGTCAAACCTGCACAATAATCATTGTTTTTTTGAGTTGGAGTCTCACTCTGTCGCCCAGACTGGAGTGCAGTGGCCGCTCCCGGCCACCACAGCCTTGACCTGCTGGGCTCCGGCGATCCTTCCGCCTCAGCCTTCCAAGTAGCTGGAACTACAGGTGCGCGCTACCACGCCTGGCTAATTTTTTTTTTTTTTTTGATTTATTGTAGAGATGAGGTCTCGCCAAGTTGCCCGGGCGGGTCTCAAACCCGCAGGCTCAGGCAATCCACTCACTTCAGCCTCCCAAGGCGCGGGGTTACAGGCTGAACCACTGAACCCGGCAATAATAATTTTTAATATGAGGACTGAGAAAGAATTTAGAAAAGGGATTGGAAAACCACTGAGAAAAATATTTATTTGTTTAAGGTGAACATTTTTACTTTATTATTGTAATTTATTTTTAGAGTCAGGGTCACACTCTGTTGCCCAGGCTGGAGTGCGGTGGCAGGCGCCATCATGGCTCATTGCAGCTTTGAATTCCTGGGCTCGGGTGATCCCCCCATCTTGGCCTCCCAAAGCACTGGGATTAGAGGCGTGAGCCACCGTGCCTGGCTTATTAAAGATGAGCTGAGTCATGCAGACATCTGGGGAAGAGCCAAAGACCAGCACATGCAAAAATCCCAAGGCAGAAGAGTCCCTCAGCTTGCCTGATGAAGTGTTCAGGGAACAGCTGGGCAGCCACAAAGTGGCTGGAGAGGAGATTTGGGGAAGAGGCGGAGGAGATCAGAAGAGTAGCCAGAGAGGATTTGTTCGCTGCTCCATCCTCAGTGCTAACAAGTGTGCCCAGAACACAGTAGGTGTTCAGGAAAACGTGTCAGGTGCTCACATATGACACTTGAATGATCTTGGACCATCCCGAGGAACATACAGACTCATCCCTTGGCTTTCTAGAGAAAACTCTGAACAGACAAATTAAGTTTCCTCCTATCCCAGCAAAATGGAGGACTTGGAATAGAAATTAAATAGGGTTGTCAGCTTGTCACAAAGCAAAAGGGCATAGTGACCTCACACACCCATTGGTGGACTGCACGTCCTCCTGCTGCCAGGGACTGGGCCTGAGCTCATGGTGACCTCACAATGTCTAGGGTGGTGCTCGCCCATGGCCACAGTCCAGTCCACCATGCTGTCCAGCCTGTGGCTGCTGCTCAGCTTTGCCGTCCTGGGACTGGAGTTCCACATTTTTGTCAGCTGTCCCCGTGGTGAACGATGCCAGCGGGCCCTGCTCTCGGGCAATGTCGTCTTCCTGCAGTGCAACTCCTCCGAGGCTCACTGGTATTTCCATTTCATGGAAGCTGGGGATGACAAGCCCCTCAGTCCCTCCAATACGTCTAACATGGAAGTACTGCCCGAGGGCAGCCTTGTCATTCAAGATCCGTTGCCCTCCCAGACGGGCTTCTACCACTGCAAGGACAAGAATGGCACCCAAGTGGTGCAGTACGAGATTGACTTCCAGGATGCCAGCATCCTGTATATAACACACAAAGGCCTGGCCCAGAAGCCCCTGCAGAACGCAACCCTGCACTCAGGCAGCAAGGTGTTCGTCTTCACCCGGTGGGAGCCCTGGCAGGACTGTAACCGTTGCGGGGTGCCGGGTGAGCGCAAACGCCTCGGATACTGCTATGTTGAGGAGCTGCTGGAGGATCCTGTGCCCTGCTGGCTCTATCTGGGAAAGGTGAAGGTGTGGCATAACCACCTGCGGCCTGAGCTGCAGATCGAAGCCTGCCACGTCAACTGTACTAATAGCACATCATTGGAGGAGGAGTATGGTGTCATCTTTGACAGCTTCAGGTTCGATGAGGAGACGGAATCTGTATGGCTCACCTGCCCCTTAGCATCCATCTACAGGTGATGGGATCTGGGCACCAGCCCAGCCTCTGCTCCCTAGCCGGGCCCTCCTGGCCCGAGAGCGTTCATGGCAAATCCATGCCAAGAGTGGGATGGGGTGGGGGAGTTCCATAGGAGTCAGCCCCACAGGCTCAGTGGTCATCAAGACAGTGCCAGGCCTTGCCCTTGGGAAGCACACAGTTCGAAGGGGAAGACAGCCCAGAGTGCTCAGAGCAGGAATCAGAGAAGGCCAGGCAGGGAGATGGGACTGTGACGGGGGGAGGCCCAGGAACCTGAGAGGCTCCGAGAGGACCCCGACTCACCTGGAAAGGTCAGCCAGACCCCGCAGGAGAGTATGACACCTCACGGTGGTGCATCCTCTGGGAGGAGGACTCTAGACTTCCTGCCTGGAGCCCCTGGGAACTCTCCCCTTCACCTCCTCCTCCCCGATCCACATGCCCCCAACCCCTGTAAGAAGAAATACCACCACCCACAGGGGCTGAGGGTGGAATGGGAGAGGACGGGAGGATGCTCCACCCTTTCCTGCGCCATTCTTTCTGCTGCAGGAGCTGTGGATGTCAAGAAGATCATTTTACAGATGGGGAAACTGCAGTGCAGAGGGGTGCAGCCTTTACCTAGGAGGACCCAGTGGGAGGCGCAGAGGCAGTAGACCCTAAATCCTGCATGCTTGGTCTCGGGGTCTCCTTGCCCTTCCTCACGTGCCCAAGGCAACCCTTCCTCACGCGAGACACTGGCAAGAGGGTAGCCTGGTGCAAGATCTTGGGGCCTCCACAGCAGTGGGCTCTGGGCAATCTGGCCTCGTCACCTCCATCCTGTTTCCTTTTCCTTGTTTATTCTAGCCATGACTTCTATCCCTCTCTTTTCCTCACCCTGAGACCTTTCTGTCTCTCTCCTTTTCTTTTCTTTTTTTTTTTTGAGTTGGAGTCTCACTGTCGCCCAGACTGGAGTGCAGTGGCCGCTCCCGGCCACCGCAGCCTCGACCTGCTGGGCTCCGGTGATCCTTCTGCCTCAGTCTTCCAAGTAACTGGAACGACAGGCGCACGCTACCACGCCCGGCTCATTTTTTGATTTATTGTAGAGATGAGGTCTCGAACCCATGGGTTCAGGCAATCCACTTACCTCAGCCTCCCAAAGGCACGGGATTACAAGCTGAGCCACCGAGCCCGGCTGTCTCTCTCCTTTTCTTCTCTTTTATTTATTTATTTAGAGTTGAGGTCTCACTGTGTGTAGCGCAGGTGTGCAGTGGCATAATCATGGCTCACTACAGCCTTGAACTCCTGGCCTCAAGCAATCCTTCCGCCTCAGCCCCCTCCCCCTCCTCTTGTCCCCCTCTGAGTAGCTGGGATGACAGGTACCACACCAGGCTAATTTTCTTTATTTTTTTGTAGTCAAATTCTTACAATGTTACCCATGCTGGTCTCAAACTTCTGGCACAAGCCATCCTCCCGCCTTGGCCTCCGAAAGGTGTTGGGATTACAGGCGTGAGCCACCAGTCCCTTCTCCTTTAAGTTTAAAAGTAACACCTTCTCCCTAAGAAAGACACAGTTCAAAAGTGCAGGAAAGTGAATTTGAACTCCTACTCCCATCTATATAGGGACAACTTCTCCATGTCATTCCCCCATGAGGAGTTCCTGAGTGCAAGTCCCAGGGAACCAGAGATAAGAATCAAGGGAGATTACTGAGAAATGAAGAATCGCCTGTGTTTCTGAGGAACTGAGTGAACTGGCATTTCTTTCTTTCTTTTTTTTTTTCCAAGTTGGAGTCTCATTCCGTTGTTCAGGCTGGAGTGCAGTAGTATGCTCATGGCCACGCCAACATCAACCTGCTGGGCTCAGGCAATCCTTCCACCTCAACCTTCCAAGTAGCCAGAACTACAGGCATGTGCTACCATGCCTGGCTAATTTTTTGATTTATTGTAGAGATGAGGTCTTGTTGCTAGGATTACAGGCTTGAACCACTGTGCCCGGCTGGGTGGCATTTCTTGTGGAGGTGTTGGATTCTTATATTGGCCTCTGGATTTAGCCAGGCAGGGGTGAGGTGGGAGGGTTTTGGTCTCAACTCTGCCACTTTCCGGCTGTGTGACTTTGGTCTCATGAGTTCTCTCTGGGTCTTGGTTTTCTCATCTGTAGAGCGGGGCTGTATTAGTTTCTAGGGATGCCATAACAAAGTACCATCAACTAAGTAGATGACAGCAACAGAAATTTATTTTCTCACTCTTCTGGAGGCTGGAAATGTGAAACCAAGGTTTCAGGAAGGCCATGTTCCCTCCAGCGTGCTGGGCAGAATTATTTCTTGTCTTTTCCTAGCTTCCGATGGTACCCAGAAATCCTTGGCTTTCCTTGGCTCATAACTGCATGACTCCAGTATCTGTCTCCAGCATTACTTGGCGTTCTTCCTGTATGTCTGTGTCTCTTCTCCTTTTCTTAAAAGGACACCAGTCATATTGGATTTAGGGCCCACCCTATTCCAGTATGATCTCATCTTCACTAATTATATCTGTAATAACCCAGTTTCCAAATAAGGTTACAATTTGAGTTTTGGAAAGGATGTGGATTTTAGGGGGACAGAATTCATCTCAGTACAGAGGTCTTGCTGGCCCTGGCTTCACAGGATCATTGTCTGTTTAAAGGGGGTGATGACTGTCAGTGATGAACTGCTCCACACCGCACAGGTGATGGCTCTTGCTTTTATGAGGGTTGGCTCCATGTGACATTGCCTATTGAATGTCCGCTCTGTTCTTTGGACAAGCTGGGCGTGTTGGTGCCCGATTCATTTATTTACTGAACAGATTTTCACTGCTCATTTATATGCCAAGCACTGTTCTTGGGACCCAGGAAACAGTGGAGAACAAAACTGACAAAGATTCCTGCCCTCATGGAGCCATAAATATATAGCATTTTACGATGAGTCAAATATATGGTATTTCAGATGGTGATGAGGGCAGGAAAGGATACTGGAAGTGGGGAGATTAAAATTGTCAGTAGCAGGGTCAGGGAAGGATTTTCTGAGAATCTGCTGTTTCAGCCAAGACTGAAAGGAGGCGAGGGGACCTGTGGGTGGAGGAAGAGCCTCCAGGGAGAGGGAACGGCCAGGGCCGAGGTTGTGCCCAGCATGTTGGAAGAACATTATGCGACCCGTGTGGCTGGGCAGGCAGGGAGAGATGAGGCCAAGCAGGTAAAGTAGAGGGGACACAGATCATTTAGGGGGTGTTCTTGATAACTCCTCTAAATAACCCAATGAGGTGGGGGCAATCATGGTGCTCCCTGAAAATTTTTTTTTAATTTAGAGATGAGGTCTTGCTCTGTCACCCAGGCTGGAGTGCAGTTGTGGCAACCATACCTCACTGTAATCTGGAACTCCTGGGCTTAAGCAATCCTCCTGCCTTGGCATCCCAAAGCATTGGAATTAGAAGCATGAGCGACCGCACCCGGCATATGCTCGCATTTTAGATGAGGAAGTGGAAGCTCAAAGAGCTGGAGGCATTTGCCCAGGTCTCCCAGCCAGTAAGGGGTGGAGCCCTGAGAGCCCCCAGTTGTACCGCCCAACCCTCCCCTGTTGACAGCTGCATGACACGGGGTTGGCTGTTCTCCAGGAAGAAGGTACCACTGTCTCCACTTCCCTTCAGACGTTCGCCCCCCCTCCCCCCACCGCTTTCCCCCTGAGCCCTGCAGCTGACCATGTCTTCCTTATAGGCCTGTCAACTGGGAAGCCAACAACAACTCCCTGACTTGGCGAGAACAACTCTCTGGCCAGGACTTCAGCACCTTCCTGGACCCCTTCACGGGGGGCAGGCAGCTGCAGATCTTCCAACCGGCCATTTACAGGTGCTTCGTGCAGCAGGAGTTCGTGGCCAAGTTCAGTCCCATGCCCAATCTGGAGACGCTGGAGGCTCAGAGGAGGGAGAACGAGATCCAGCCGCGGGAGGCAGTGGAGGCCCGGCTGGGGAAGGACTCTCTCCTCAAGGGGCTGAAGCTGCTGGTGGTCCTGGGCACCACCGCTGCCCTGCTGGGGGCGCTGCTCAAGTTCTTCCCCGCTTCCGGGGGCAAAAGAAGCAAGCAAGTGCTGTTGGTGAAATAAAGCGAGCCCTGAGCGCACCAGAGACCTGCTCCTGGCCCCTTATTGCCTCAGTTTTCCCTTCTGGAGCTCCTGCTCCCGACCCCACGCCACACTCTGGATGTGTGAACCAGAGCAGACGGTGGTGATGACCCAGTATCCCTGAGTTTCCCCCATTCTAGACCTTGCTCGTTAGTTACCCATTCCCCACAGGAGGAAACTGAGGCGAGACGACCTATTTAATAGTTGGGAGTGGGGACCCCAGTTCAAGCCCAGGTTGCCTGGCTCAAGTCCTGTGCTGCTCAGAGGGTGGGAGGGAGGAATGGGACCAGGCCATTCTCGGGGTGAGTCCCCAAGGTCAGTTGTCACCCCCTCACTCACCTCCCTCTCCCAAAGACATGATGGGGGACGCGTGGGCGCCCTCAGACCTCCCTCTCTGTGCTGGGCCCTGCCACCTTGCCCTGCCATCCCTTGCCCCGCCCTCCCCATGGTGCCCAGGCCTTCAGGCCCAGCCACAGCTCTCCAAGTCAGAGGTGCTACCAGAGAGGCCCAGGCCCAGAAGCTACCCTCCCCAGCTCTTGTGGTGGAGCGAGCCCCCTCAAGACCCCGAGAAGGGGAGGCAGGCCTCTCTGCCAGGATAAGGTGCCAGGCCTGGCTCAGTTGACCCATGGGAGTCACCAGGCTTGGCTGTTTTCAGAAATTGCTACACTGATTAGCAGAGTGCAGGAGTGGGAAATAAAATATTAATGCATTTTAGAATTCATTGCCCTAATAGTCCACTGTGAGGCAATGACAGGATAGATTCAAAACTCTTCCAGAACAAAACTTCTGCCCCGAGGACAAGGCAGAGCTCGCCCACATGCACCAGACACTGTTGCCAAAACACTTAAGGCTTCAGGATGAGGGAATGTTCCCTGAGAACGAAAGGGGGCCCCCTGGGAAGTGGAGGCAGAGAATAACAACGATAATCACAGCAACCATTTTTGGACTTCCTGGTGTGGTCAAAACCCAAACGTTTCATAAGCTTTATGTCCCCACAGTCACCTGTGAGGCTGGTGTACTATTAACCTTGTTTTGCAGCTGATAACATGAAGGCACAGAAGGCTCAGGCCACCCGCTGGAGGCCACACAGCTTGGGAAGGGACCAGCGGTGGAGGGCCCCACCTTGGCTCCCAGGAAACTCCTCAGTGTCCTGCATCCATGGTAGCCCCCGTTGTGTGATAGCTGGAGGTGGACCAGCGAGAGCCAAGCATGGGTGCCATGCTCAGGTGGTCCGCACAACACCAAAGGTCTCACAGCTGTAGCCCAGGCTGTCAGTGCCCCACTGTGGCAAGGAGCCCCCAAGGTGACCCTAGTGACTTCCCACCTCCTAGTGTCTCTGCCTTGTGTTATCCCTTCCCCTTCAGTGTGGACCAGACCCGTGACCTTGCTTCTAACCAGTGGCGTGTGGCGTTGGTATGGGGCTGTCACTCCCTAGATGGGGCTACATTGTGGATGAGGTCTGAAAAAGTGCTCAATATCACTCATTGCTAAATATCACTCTGGTCGCCTTTGAAGTACTCCCCTTAGGAAGGTATGCATCAATGCCAGCGCCTAGTCCTCCTGTCAAAGCAATTTTGGAACTCTTTCTGGAATGGCCATCAGAGCTGTCTTTGTATTGCCCTTGATGTCCTGAATGGCATCAAAATGTTTTCCTTTCAATATTTCCTTTATCTTTGGGTAAAGAAAAAAGTGATTGGGGGCCAGATCGCGTTGAGTAGGAAGGGCTTTCCAATACAGTTATTTGTTTACTGGCTAAAAGCTCCCTCAAAGACAGGGCTGTATGAGTTGGTGGATTGTTATCATGCAAGAGTTCCTTTGGGACCATTCTTGCACAAACCTTTCTCATGCCAAGATTTTCAGTCAAAATTTTCCTGTTTATCAAAGTTTTTTTGGTCATCTCACAGTTAACCCATGATTTTGACGCACAATTTGACACATTTTTGAAATGTTTTCATCAGCTCTGCGCGTTACTGGTTGTCCTGATCTCTCTTTATCAGTGATACTTTCTCTCCCCTCAGAAAAACCTATACTAGCCGGGCTCGGTGGCTCAGCCTGTAATCCCGCGCCTTTGGGAGGCTGAGGTGAGTGGATTGCCTGAGCCCGCGGGTTCGAGACCCACCTGGGCAGGTGAGACCTCATCTCTACAATAAATCAAAAAATTAGCCAGGCGTGGTAGCGTGCGCCTGTAATTCTGGCTACTCGGAAGGCGGAGGCGGAAGGATCGCTGGAGCCCAGCAGGTCGAGGCTGCGGGGGCCAGGAGCAGCCACTGTACTCCAGTCTGGGCGACAGAGTGAGACTCCAACTAAAAAAAAAATAAATAGAAAAACCTATACTCCATTTGTACACTGCCATTTTAATCATGGCATTATCCCCACACACTTGGACTAACATGTCCCTGATTTTATTTCCATTCTTGCCGAGCCTAACAAGAAACTTAATATCTATTTGTTTCTGTAATTAAAACTTCAACATTCTTGCCATGACAGCACTGAGAGCCATTCCAGAAAAAGGGTTTCAAAATTGCTTTGATGGGGGGACTAGGCACTGACATTAGCTCATAGCTTCCCAAGGGGAGTGCTTCGAAGTGGTATTCAGCAATGAGGTATGTAGCACTTTTTCTAGGATGAGCTCATGAACTTAATTGTCAGACCTTGTGTAAGGGCCCTGGTGAATGGATGGAGCTCACCAGGACAGAGAGGCAGTGTGGTGGGAGAAGACATCAAGGAGGTAGCCAGGGCAGATCAGACCATGTAGAACCCTGCAGACCAGGGGCTTTGGCCCTTTTTGAGATGAGCTGGGAGCCATGGAGGGCTTGGAGCAGTGGAGGGACATGATGTGATGTTCATTTAAAATGGTGATTCTGGCAACGTGGAGTCCCTTATAGGTAAGGGTGGGGCAGCTCCCAGGTTGGGACAGGGAGTAGCAGCCACTTTGAATGTGGCCACTTGGACAATGAGAAATTTGTGTCACAGAGCAGGAGATGGTCCAGCCTGGCCACCCTCCTCTGTACCCAGAGAACAGTGCAAGACACAACATGCCCCATATTCCATTTTTAACCATTATATCCTGCCCTTTTCCTTTCTGTATCCTGCTTTTCTAGCTTCTTGGGCCTATTTTCTTTATTGGAAAAAAAATCATGGCTAATAAATGCAATTTTAGTACTTGGCCCTGCTATATATATCTCCCCCAATCAGCTGGAGAAAGAAAGGGAAAGAAGAAGAAAATAATTCCTTTTTCTTTTGAATTGCAGAAATTCAAAGGCTGCCACTAGCCTATATACACCTTAGTGTATTATACACCTTAGTGTAAATTGTATAAAGGTTCTCTCCACATGGACACAGCCCTATATCAGGGTTCTGGGCTGGTGAGTAGAGCATGGAACGGGTCTCCACTATTCCTTCTGCTGGACAGTTCACACAGTGCTGAACCTGCATGACTCCAAATGGCAACCCTGAGTGAGACACTTTCTGCATGATGAAATTGTCCTGGCAAATGTTACTGCAATTGCAGAAGTCCTGTACATTATTCTGTATTAGTCAGTATAGGGTAGGTGTTGCTGCAGAGACAAATATACCTCAGAATAAACATATATGTTTATTTCCTTCTTATATCATATTTCAGCACAGGAGACCTTCATCCGCTGGACTCAGGTGACTCGGGCATCCAGGCTGCCATCTGAAGTGTTGGGTTCCAAAGTCATCACAGAATGGATGGGGAGGACATGGAATCAGATATGGGGGCGTAGAGTAGGGCCTAGAAGTGTCATTTGTTTTGTCCACTGACCAGAATACTCCATTGGCCAGAACTCAGTCACATGCCTCCCTACACCCTCAACTATAAAGGAAAGTGGGAATCGTGACCTCCCGTGTGCCTTGGAAGAGGAGGTAAATTGTGGGGCACCTGGCCAATTAATGACACAGGCCAGAGTGCAGAAATTATGTCCATGTCCTATGAAAGTGATCTTAACCACTACAAAAGTTCTGTAACTCTGATTCCTTGTGTGAATATTTGTTGACCTGAGAGTAATATTTCTTTTTTGTGGTAGCAATTTGATTTCAAGAGAGTAATATTTAAATTAACTTTTCTGAATCTTTTTTTTTTTTTGAGTCAGGGTCTCACTCTGTCACCCAGGCTGAAGCACAGTGGCACAATCATGGCTCACGGCAGCCTCGAACTCCTAGGCTCAGGAGGTCCTTTTGCCTCAGCCTCTTGAGTAGCTGGTACTACAGGCGTGCACCACCACGCCCGGCTTATTGTTTTACTTTTTTGTAGAGACAATATCTTGCTGTGTTGCCTAGACCAGTCTCAAACTCCTGGGCTCAAGCTATTCTCCCACCTCAGCCTTCCAAAGTGTTGACATTACAGGTGAGCCACCATGCCCATCCTGAAACTTTAAAACTGATAGATAATTATAATCTATTTGTTCAGACATAGGATCATTGGCATCTACCTATTTACCCACATTTAGTTAAAAAAAAAAAAAGGCTCTGAATCTTCCAGAGTATCATTAGACAAAGATTTTCAGAGGCTCCATCTTCTCCCACAACAGTTGTTGTATCCCCTGTTGGCCTCCATATGGGTTTCTGGTCATGTGCTTCCTGAATTCTCAATCAAATCCAAGAAGACCCTACATTTGCCTAAAACCCTGGCAATGGCCATTTATTGCTTCTAGAATCAGGTCAACCTTTCTCCGGGGCCTACAAGGTCTGCAAGGATGGGTCACTGCTCACGTCTCATTTTCCCTTGCACCACATGTCCCCCTGCCCCACCTTCTGGTTCCAGCCAAACTGGCTTCCTTTAAGCTGTTCTCACTCATTATTCTCCTCACTGTGTTGCAGCCTCCACCTAAAAGACCCTTCCTCTCAGTTAACTCCTCTCATCTTCAAGCATCATTGCCTCATGGAAGCCTTCCCATCACACACTTGCTTTCAGAATGGACCTGAGTGGGGCTCCCTGCATCTCCCTGACCCTCCACCTTCCA